TCAGATACAGTACTTTGGACTTTTATGAAGTCGATTCCTTATTCACTAACGTGCCCATAATTAAAACTTTACATCTAGCAATTTCTCTTTTCCTATCCCTTAAACGTGTCTAAAATAACTGCTATTATTATGTACTAATACGAATCACATCATATTTGAAAGCGAATATTTTCGACAAATCGATGTTATGGCGATGAGAAATCCCTTAAAATCATTGCTGATACTTACACGCTATGTAGAGAAAGTTAGTCACTAATTTTATTCGTAAAGTAATTCTTTACAAGACATATGTTGACGACGTAATTATAATATGGGAAAGCATAAAGATGTAATTTATTTGTTAGAAAGGCTTAATACCATACTAGACAATGTGTTTCACAAATGCTGTACTTGGATATAATAATGAGTCGCAGGGAAGACTGTTTAATAAAACAACCAATTTACAGGAAACCAACTTGAACAGGTAGTACTTACATTTCTATAGCTTTTATCAAATGTAATATAAGCGAGACGTGATAAAGTGTCTGTTTAGTAGATTTAACGTACTCACACACTAAACTCAGTGGATGATGACATCAAAATATTACATGGGATATTAAATATATAATGGTTAAGCAATGAAATTCATAAACCGCTGTAGAAATCAGTTAACTTTGAGACCTACTCTATATTCTGTTCCAAAGAAAGCGTTTGTAACACGCTCCTATACTGAGAGGAATCTCATAGCGCAATCGTGAAACAAAAACTAAGGTCTACAATCAGCAAGACGCATATAGCAGATACGCTTATCGTAGTTGAGAAAACCAAAAAATGTTGTGTATATTGCACAAATGATTGCGTCATATCCCCCCGCGGTTACCAGCTTACATCTGTTTATGAACAAATACATATGGAGGACTAATGAAGATATACACTTTGGAGAGGTAGAACATGTAATAAAATGGCCATAAAAACACCTAGATTCAAAAACGCTGGTACATGTACTTGACAAACAATCATTTTCATCTATTGCAAAACAAATAACTCACAAACATCATAGGATTTATATTAAACCAGCCTGTAGGGTGCGAGTATATCACATCCGGACCGATAGCTGACACCTTGACGTGGCGGTCAGGCTTGCATATTGCAAGGATCCAACGAGCTATACTGGTGGAACACTTGTTCCCTCAAGGTCCTACCATACCAGAAAGGTCTGTTGAATAGTGGTTAGATGAAAAGCAGTCACATTATGGTGTAAATTACTACACTATGATGGGGGTCTGAGGGCAAAGTCGTACTGCTGCTAGCTGGATGGGGTGTGACAGCAGTAAGGTGTTTCCCTTAGACGACTACCAGTGCCATGCTGATGCTGCCTTCTCAGTGGAAGGAGGGGTTTAGAAAAGATCAGCCCCAAAATAGCACACTCCACCATATCCCACGTCTACCAGCCAGCGGTGTTGGTTCACTTGTCGTTTTCTTTCGAACATCCGTCCTAAAACAACAAAAGACTAAGTGTAACAGGCCTCAAGTAGATGTCTGATGGGCTCTGCAGTCCAACAAATCTCTTTCAGGTACCTTAAGAAGAAATAACCTTACACCGTATGGGCAGCCGGCGAGTGTCAACCGACCTCACAACTCGATCAGCAATCAAGTTTCTTCAGACTGCTATCCACCTCCCCCATCACTACCTTCTAATCTTCCTTCACGTCTCTTAATTAATAATGCTGCATCATCTTCAATTTCTCCTACCTCTGCAGCCTTTGACAACGATCTGAGTCCACAGAACGGCATCGCTGGTCTCCTTAAACCACGCTCGAAATTACATATTGGATCCTTCAATGTCCGCACCCTCCGTCAAATTGGTCAACAGGCAAAGACTCTAGCAACTCGGGGCATGGGTGTGTGATGTGTTTGTGAGACATGCATACAGGACCCAAGTGTGGTTATTCACCTGACCTCCCCCGGTCAATCTGGTGAATCCACAAAATTCACTCTTCGAGTTTCTGGAGATTCGATAGCCAGCTCTCGCGTTCTTGCAGGTGTAGGTATAGCAACAAGCATTAGGGCAGAAAACTCACTACTAGACTGGATCCCACTTGATAGTCGCCTCCACGCTATCCGAATGAACGGCTCAGTGAGAACTAAGAGGAATAATGACACTCGCCGTTCTCTTTGTAATCTCTGCTTACACACCCACTGACTGCAATTCGGATGAAGTGAAGGATGAGTTTTACCAAAAACTGTCTAGCCTCCTCTCGAAAGCCAAACATTCAGACTTGGTGGTTGTTTTAGGTGATTTCAATGCACAAGTGAGTAGACTGGGTGAGGCAGAAAGGCACTTAGGTGGCACTTTCCGAGTCCCGGCTGAACTAACATATAACGGTGATCGCCTCTACAACTGTGATCAAATAACCGCCTATTTTAACCAGCACCAATTTCAGACATAAAGAAAGACACTGTCTGACGTAGCGTCCACCGAGCTCAACTCAGCGATGGACACAGATAGAGCACATTGCTGTTAGTCATCGCTGGAGAGGATAGGTGGAAGGCCACCACTCCTTTTGGAGAACGCGTTTGGATAGTGACCACAAGTCGGTTCGAGTGCGTGTATACCTGCATCTCAATGAACGCTGGGAAAATTTGGCAACAAACCCATTACAAGTGTGGCTCGAAAACAAAAACACTAAAGCCATGTTCAGTGAGAAGTTGGCTAGGCAGTTAACGGAACAAAAGACTATCAATCATTCAGAAGAAGCTTCGTGCCATCTCCAGTCTGCTGTAAGAGCAGCGCTGAAGATCGTAGCCGACTCCAAAATAGTGACCGAAAAGAGCCAGTGGATATCAGCAGCTTCTTTCGAACTAATGGATGCAAGTGAACACATCCCAACAGGCTCTGAGTACAGTGAAGAGCGAATGCAACTAGAAAGTAGACTGAGAAAAAGTCTACGCAACGACCGCTAACAGTGGTGGGGAGCGAAGGCTAGAGAGATGGAAAAGGCAGCGGCGATTGCTAACAGTAGACAGTTATTTAGACTTATTAAGGAGACTGGGGAGGGGGAAAGGTCAACAACAGTTGGTGAGGCTGTAGAGAAGAAGGATGAATCTCCAATTCACTCGCAGAGGAGACGACTGGAGCGTTGGGTAGAACACTTCGAGGAACAGTTTAACTGGCCTCCAGCCACCATTGCTCTGCCCGCTGTCCAGTCGGATCCTGAATGGAATATTGAGATAGGCCCCCCAACACTAGGAGAAGTCGAGAAAGCGGTAGGTAACCTGAAACGGAGAAGGACGGCAGCACAGATGGACTAACTCCTGAGGTGTACAAGGATAGTGGTAAGGTGCCCTTAGTCATGTTAACGAAAGTGTTAGCCAGGATATGGGAATCAAATACGATCCCCTTTGATCGGTCTCAATCACTGATTATCACAGTCTTCAAGAAAGGCAAGTAGTCCACTTGTGATAACCACAGAGGAATCAGCCTGACGAACATAGTGTCCAAGATCCTGGGTTCTATAATTCTTCGATACCTGGGCGGAGCTCGCGAACGGCATTCCCGAGAAAAGCAGGCAGGCTTTAGACTGGGCCGCGAGTCTGTCGATAAAATATTCACACTACCCTAGGTTTTTTGAACACAGACACGCTTAACGACGCCTGACAATAGCTGTATTTCTTGACGCGAAGGCGGCATTCGACTCCGTTGATCGAGAAGTCTCATGGCAATGTCCGTCACTGAAAGGCGTGCCGAGTAAACACATTACCTTATTGAAGACTCTCTACTCAAACACTTGTGGAAGGGCTACAGCCCATGGTGAGATATGCGGGGAGCTGTACTCGTCGAGTGGCGTCTGCCAGGGTGCCCACCCTCTCCATTCTTATTCAATTTTATTATAGATATTCTCATGTAGGTCTCCCCTCGTCACCTGATTACACAGAAGTTGCGTTGCACCTAGAATATGCAGATGACATAGTCCTGTTCGATGAAGACGCTAACAAGAGGCAGAGTGTTCTGAACACTTTGAGTGGGAATTTGAGAATGTTTGGGATGTGTTTCTCACCACCCAAATGCAAATTATTGCTTCAGGATTGGTCTTTAACGGTACCACGGCTAGCAAGAGAGAGTGTAGTGATTGAGTGTGTCAACCGCTTCACTTACCTGGGAAGTAGGATCACCCCTGCCTTGTTGGCTCAGTGGTCGATGAAATCTCTGCACGAATACAAAAGGCTCGACTGGCTCTTGCCAACTTACACCACCTGTGGCACCGCCGTGATATTTGACTATCTATTAAGGCTCGCATGCACTGCACAGCAATCCACTCTGTTCTACTGTATGGCTGTGAAACATGGCCACTGAAGGTGGAAGACATGAGAAGGCTGGCTTCAGGTGTTTGACCACCGTTGCCTTCCTGGTATAGGCCGTATTCCGTGGTGTCACCATGTGAGTAAAGCAGAAGTCAGGTGTAGAGTTTTAGGGAGAAGGGGTAAATCCGTTGACGAGGTTATGAACCTTCATCGACTGAGATGGTTGGGACACGTGATACGTATGCCTAGTCGCCGATTGCCTCGTCACACAATCTTTGCCGAAGTAGGTTCAGGCTGGAAAAAGGCCTGAGATGTCCAGACTAAAACATGCAATCAATGTACGAAGTTTCTGACTGTTGACATGAGCCATGTGGGGCGATGCGATGTGGGGTCCGCAGGACAAGAGGAACCAGTGATTGGAGACTATGTGATATGGCTGAGAACCGATATCATCTTTACATCATGCTGAATCTCCCCATTTTCTCGTTCTTCATTTATTTCTTTTCGTAATTCATATTTCTCTTGACTGAATTTTCTTGTCTTCATCTTGCATCTCACTGGTTCTTTACTTGATGTACTGATATGAGCTGTGGCAACTCGGAGGGTTGCGCAATAATGCCTGGTCCTATGTTGATATTGGTGATGATGATTTTTCAGACACACTAAATCTTCACATTAAGTTATTCAAACAAAAAATAATTGACTTATGTAATGCTTACCTATAAAGCGAATAAAGGGACGTACATCTCCATCATTCGCAGTTTTCAATAACTCATAATAGACAACGCGATCTTCTATCTTAATAATAGCTGGTGGTAAGCCAGAGCGCATCAAAATTAAATTCATAAGAAGTCGAGCAGTACGCCCATTCCCGTCGTAAAAAGGATGAATAAATACCAACTTCCAGTGTGTTAGCGCAGCTAATTCAATTGGATGCATATCGATTATCTCATCGGAATTTAACCAACTAACCAATTCTGACATGAGATCATGTACACTTGAAGGTGCCGGTGGTTGATGGTCTGCTATAAAGACCTAGGAAATATAGCAGAGAAAAGGCCAAAGTTATGAATAAGAGGAAATGGATAAGACGATGCATTTCAATCATTTTTGAAAACTGATAGCCTTTTACATTATTTAGTTTCAAGAACCAATCTTTCTATACTTCAAAGAGAAAACGATGTTACATTCTCTACGAGCAACAATAATAGAAATGCGAATCGGTCCATTGAAGCTTGGAAACAGCGGAAATATAAGTGTTGTTTACCACCACCACATACAGTAGGTTTTCGGCATCCTCAGAAGATTGCAATTGCTTGTTAACTAAATTAAACTAATTCAAGCATATACAATTTACTTTTATCGAATTCAGGGGTTTTAGTTGAACGTGATATTTATAAAGAACTCCACTAAAATTGAAGCGAAACATCATTGTTTGCTGATGATTCAGCCTAGAATTACTACTAATTAGATAACCGTTAACCGTCATTTAAAATTTGTGAACCTCGCATGAAATCCCGAATTTCTCAAGGCAAATTCCACTTTCAAGGTACGATTTGAAAGATCACTCCACTAAAACTTATAAGTACGCAAGCAATCTACTCATATTTACCAACATCCAAGTCAGAGATTAAAATATTGAGCTTGTCTTCTGTGGTTTATTTTGATTTTTTGTTGATTAAGCGAAAGAGTTTGTAAGAATAAACAATATCGAAACCCCTAGACTTGAATGTTATCACTAGTTATTCAATCCCGAAATGTGTATTGGTTTTGGTTTATGTTCCAGTTATGTTGAAATGTTTAATGATAGGTTTAGAAGTACCAGAGAATTTACACTTTATCGGTTAACTGTCACAATTTCTGGTTATTGTAATGTTAGTATCACAGAGAATCGATTTATAGAGAGGTCGGATAGCCATAACTGTGATCTAAAATTATGTATACTACTGGCATTTTTGTGCCAAAATGGAAACATACTTTTAAAGGCGTCATACTGCATTTCAGAACACCATCAATTAGTACTTTTATCAATAACAAAAGGTTAACTTCATAGATGGGTGGTTATGTGTTTATGCAGCAGCCTGTGAAGTAAGCCTGCAGTTTACAAGCCGATACTCATACCTCTCTTCTTAGGCCAAAGTTTACGCATGATAGACTTTACAAATGGTGACGAGGTACTGATTATATTAGACAGCTAGAATACTGCGATAGGTAATTATGTGCTCACATAACGTCAAAATGGATCACAAAAATACATCTTCATAAATAGTATTAGGTAGATTTATTTGGTAAAGTAACTCGTCCAAGAATCTTTAAAAAAACTCATTAAACTAACAGCTAAACCATAAAGAAAATGTTTTCATTATGAAATGTTACACTTAAAGCATAAAAACCAGCCGGAACGGAGTAGAAACTGAGGAAAACACTTTCAGTGACTTTCAGAGACTAAAAGTTGCTAAAGCTTCAAACATAGAAAACCTTTATATGAATGAGATAGTGGGCCCTAAAAAAGCGTTGTAACATAGATTATGATTTCACAATATAAAGGATAATATGAACATTAGAAAAATTGTGTGAAGCTTATAAAATATTACCTGAGAACGTCGTAGTCTTCCAGCTTCCCTTAAATCGACAAATGATAAGAGCCGACGATGTAATTCCAATATGTTATCCAATGTTATTGCACTCATTTCTCCATGCAAAAGAGTGTTATTGATATATTTTAGAGCTAAATCCATACCTAGTACCTAAAATACAATATGCAAAAAATTGTTGCTTAGCACGTACGCTTCACAGATAGCAAATGTCTGCAGCTGGAATAGACTAGTAGAATTGAAGAACTAACTCAAAATTTATATATATATATATATATATATATATATATATATATATATATATATATATATATATATATATATATATATAACGTAGACTGACCTGGCACAGGTTTGTGTACTAGACTGTGAGCCACACTAATTGTGTGAGGGCTTATGGTACCAAGCAGTTGACTAAGTCGGATTAAACTCCAGACGCATTGCCTGAAAGTCAAATGCTTACTCCAATAAGTCACATCGCCGCTAACCCGAAATTACAAAACTATGGTTCCTAATTAAAAAGACCATGTGAGTTCTGTCCTCTATATCTATATCCACTCATAGTAGTGAATCTTTAGGAAACAAAGGAGTTTGTATATCTGAATAGTTGCATGGATGCTTTTCAAGGTGAAAATAGAGAAACCAATCTATGCATACCTAAAGTCGGAGTGACATATGTTACAACGGTGATAGAGTTGTTTCAGACTGCGATTAAGAGATCGTCACTATTGCGACACTACTTTTTGTACCAATGAAAAGGTTATAGTACGTGAAATATATTCACGTTTCTCCATGTTATTCCTTATATGACAGCAAAACTATGTAGATGACAGTAGGGTAATCCATCGTACACTCGGTCAAAGTAAATACGAGGAGAAAAAATAAAGCAGAATTCTGCTCAGAGGTGCTTTATTCATGGAACCACTCTTCCTAAACACAGTAAAGTAAAAACAACCAATAACTATCTAGCCAATATAAGACATCCGTTTAACGGAAAAGAACTATACCTGTTGATATAACTTCCAAATCCGACCAGCCGAATTACGTTCCTCATCCAAAATGAGACCTAACTTTGATATCGCCTACTTGGTGGTCACACCTTGCTTGAATGATGCCATAAAAAACCCTGTGATAAGATAATAAGGACGTTTCCGTGTTGTCAACACTCTACAGGCACTTAACAGCCGTAAAGAATGATAAACTGAAATATATTCCAAGGTATTTATAACGGAATGGTATCAGTTGGAAAATCATTCAAGACCTGAGAGAAGACAGCCGTTTTGTCCTAGCATGGGACTCCACTTAGACAGACATTCAGATATCTGACATATCATATTTCACACAAGAGATTGTATAAATTCTAAACCGATGAAGACTGCTTTTTAGAAAGTAAATCTGTATCGACTAAATATTCACACTGCACCAGGTTTCGGAACACAGACACGCTTGCCGACGCCCGACACTAGCTGTATATATATATATATATATATATATATATATATATATATATATATATAACACCAGTCACTGGGGTGCAGGTACATCCCGCTGACGAGTTCAAAATAGGGGGAAACGCGCGTCCCAGATTGCACTGAGTCACTAAGATGAATACAGTGTTTATCATGCTTCTTTCAGTGGATTTTTAAGAGTGTATACCTAAACAGCTTAATACAGCATCGCATATGACACAATGAAAGCTGGTGATGCTCTCACTTTCAGTTTTTATACAAACAGGACGGCAACGAAAAATATTAGGTATATATTTATACATGACTGCCTTCTTTTTCCTTATCACTAGTACGATTCGATGCCTTTCTTTGAATATGCATCCCAATATTTACTGATTTATTCAATACAAAAAGCCTCTGCTCTTGAATGACAAAATTTAAGAAGTGTTTGCAATGACAACATAGAATGATGCTAAATAATTGCCTAAAATTTATGACAATCTAAGAAATGTCAGAAATTGGTGACCATTGAAATTTAGTTCACCGGTTATTACAATCCTGAGGTTAATCTATACTTACTGCTGAGAAGTTCTAGATTCGAGTAAAACTGCTGTCCCGAACTACCTGATTAATGACGGTTGTCTACACAACACATCTACTGGATAAATCTACCTAACATAAACTATTCTTTGATAAACGGACTAATGTAAAGTGGAGATTATTCGTTTTGTTGTTACAAGTATTAGTAATCAAAGATAGTGAATGACATATCATCTATCTACAGTATGCATTCAGTAGAAACCTCAGCTCCAAAGAATCAGATGAAGCATACATTTTCATTAAACTCATGATAAATATATGCATAACCATACCTCATTTTGCTCCAAAAGACTTTTTCCCCCAACAGCTAATCGTGTTTCCAAAATCGATCGAGTCTGAGCAAGTGTCAGTGTATTCCCTTCAATAGCATTTGAGTGATAGACATGCTTAAAGTAATGTTCAACCTTAGCTCGACGTAATCCTGGATCCCCTTCTGGTATATGGTAAAATTGACGAACTTTGAAGTCGATTGCATTCAGACTGAACGAAATGTATAAAAACAAACATAGAAAACAACCAACACAATATGCACAGCATGAAGTAAAAATTATATACAATCTGCTGGTTGATAGCTATTAATATCATCTTAAATATCGACTGAATACATTTAAGGACATAAAAAAAGCACAAGAGCTGAATTAGAACATCGAGACATTATGAAGAAAAAGGGCAGCGAGGGAAATAAAATTAGAAAAAATGAAGCGTAAACATTGGGTGCTAATAGAGACATATCTATGATAAATGAACAACGTTATGGGTACACAACTACTGCGGCGCTATATATATATATATATATATATATATATATATATATATATATATATATATATATATATATATATATATATATATATATATATATATATATATATATATATATATATCAGCTTAATAATTTTGTGCAACCAAGTGGAGTAGGCAGTCAACACATCATAAATAAGCCTAAACACCAAGTACAAGAGATTATATAAAGCCTTCATTACTTATTAATGTTATTAGTTAGTCTGCACGTCTGAGATTTTCGGGGAATTCACTACTAAGGGATAACAGTTAGGATTTTCCACGAGTTTCAGAAGCAAATTATTTACATCTATAGCACGCAATAAATCAATACTAAAGAACAATAGCCGAGAAATAGTGATTGTAGACACTAAAATATGACTACAATGTTCAAACTAAAAAAACAATTTAGTAACAAGATTCATGACAGAACCACTATTTTGAAAACCTCAATGTAATAATTTTCGAATCGTACTTTATAGCTATATGGACCAGACATACAGTATGTGGTTCAAAAATTCTACGTGGTTCGCTTGTCGAAATTTCATTTCTTTTTCATTCAAAGTATTAGCGTCGTCCTCTAAAGTACGTGGGGAAGTGGCTCACTTGGTAGAACTGTGTACATAAAAGCACATCCACGTGTCCACATACACTCACTTGGTTTTATATCTATACGGTAAAGTATCCAATGAAAGGCCAAGCAATCAGAGCAAGGAAGATCTGTTTAGACGACAAATAACAGGAGCTAGAATATCTTTTGAATTCACTGATCAAAGTAGGTTACCTCTGTGATTTTGTGAGAAAAAAAAGCATATCAAATGAATGGATCGAAAAAGTGAAGTAAGAATTGCTTGAAACGAAGCAAAGCTACAATTTATCGGAGATGTATCTATTGAAATCCTATTTCACAGACTATGGAGGACCATTCAGAGAACTTTTGATGCAACTGTCTGCTTGTCATTTTCTAGTACACGAATTGTTCAGTCGAACGAAGAACCAGTTACCAAGTTTCGCCACTTTTATGTGTATTTGCAAATTTAATCGGTTTTGTGTAGAAAGTCATACCGCGTGTACGACTAAACGACCTAACCAATGCATTACCAAAATCAAACATCGTGACTGGGAAAAAGAGTAGTCTATAAGAAGCTCAATTTCGTCACATTTACCTGCTGGTGATCACAGAGGGGACAAAATGAAAGCTTTTAAAAAAACCTTACCACATTCCACCGATCACATTCGATGGAGTTAGAACCCGACGTCTACTTATAGCTGTTATAGGAATTCGAACGATCAATCCTAAGTTTACTGGAAAAAATTATGCACGCTTTATCAGTGCCCCGCATAAAAAAATAAATTTCCCAACATATATATAAACTTGAATGTGTTGTGTTCTCTGAGCTGAGTTGTTTAGTCATGGGCTCTGCGGTCACAGTCTGTTCTTTTTCAAAGGCCTCGGGAAGAAGTAGCCATCCATAAAGTGAGCAACTGGGAAGTGTCAACCATCTGCACGCTTCCAGTAGTACACAAAACCCAATGAAACATGACCCATCCTTCTCAACTTTAACTCGTTTGCCTTCACTTCTTGATACCAACACTAGACCTCTTACGCATTACCCAACCTTTCACTCTGCAACCATTATCAACGATCAAAGCAGTAAAAATGTCATTCTTGGTCTCCTAAGACCCGTCATTGATTTCATATTGGGTCTTTCGACGTCCAAACTCTATGCCAAATCAGATAGCAGGCATCGCTCGCCAGAACTCTGGAATCTCGAGCCATGGACGTATGCTGTATCCCGTAGGTACGTATAAAGGATCCAACTATTACTAAATTGAACTCACCTAGCCATGGTAGTAAATTTTAGAACCCACCTTTTGATAATCCGAAAACCCAATGACCAGCACTCGTGGGCTTGCTAATGCAAGCGTAACCTTGAGTTGTAAGGCAGAAAATGCACATCACGACTGGATACCAATCAACAACTGTCTATGGGCTCTTCAACTGAATGGAGTTTTAAGAACTAGGAAGGACCGTGAGACTAACCGATACTTATTCGTAATCTCCGCTTACCCAGCCACCAACTGTAGTTCCGAGGATGCAAAGAACGACTTCTATCAGAAGCTGTCAATTCTGCTACAGAAAGCAAAACATTCAGACTTGGTCATAGTAGCAGGCGAATTCAACGCCCAAGTGGGAAAACTGAGCCAATTGGAATGACATTTTGGAGGTATCTAAGGAATCCCATGCCAACGAACGGACAACAATGATCGTTTGTTGCAGTTTCTTGACGACCGCTAGATGTTGGCGAGCACTGACTTTAATGTTAACGAGAGTCACTGTTTCATATGGCATGCGTCAACACCAAACCAACGGTGGAAACAGACAAATCATATTGCCATAAGCCACCGTTGGGTTGAATATGTGGAGGATGACCATTCCTTCTAGGGTACCAGTTTGGACTCTGATCACACGCTTGTGAGAGCTCGTGTATGTCTGAGCCTTACTGGTTGCCAGAAACAGGCAGGAGTAAAGCCTGTGCACGCTTGATTGGAAGATGAGAACATGAATCACGCATTCAGAGAGGAGATAGGTAATCACTTATCTGAATGTGACAGCAATTCTCATGCTGAAGAAACCAGGCATGATACTAAGTCTGCTGTTGAAACTGAGGTAAAGGTATTTGTAGACCCACGCCCGAATGTTAGCAAACGCTGTTGGATTTCCGTAACGTCATCCGAACTTATTGATATGAGACCACTAATCCCGACCGTCTATGATCACGATGACTAGAGAAAGGAACTTGAACATGAATTGACAAAGAGTCTTCGCAATGATCGCAAGCAGTGGCGGGTGGTGAGAGAGAGGTGAAGAAGGCATTGGTGTTAGGTTACACCCAGCAACAATTTATTTCTCTACTCGAACTCATGCGGTCGTGTAAGGGCTTACGGAGAGTTGTCATGTGAGTCAACGATAACTAGTGTCTGTCAGAGATGCCTACTGTCACCGTTCCTACTTAATTTCATTGTAGACGTACTAACTGATATATCTCTAGGTACTTCCGACTTCACAGAGATTGATCTACTCCCTGGAGGTCATCTTGCTGACCTAGAGCATGCAGACTATATTGTCTTGCTAAGTGAAGATCCTGAAAAGATGCAGGGTCTTCTAAATGCCTTCAGCAGAGATGAGTATGATTGGCATGAGTTTTGCATCTGTAAAATTTAAGATGCTCCAGGACTGGTCTGCAACGAACCCCAGTTTAATGATGGGGAGTGAACTGGTGGAATATGTCGACCACTTCACTTACTTGAGGAGTTCCATCAGCTCAAACAGGCTGGTTGCTGAAAGCTCAGCTCAGCCCGTAGACATTTACAAACCTGCATCATCTGTAGGGCTGATTGGCAAGATATCCGACAATCAATCAAAGGACGAGTATACTGCGCTGCATTCTGATTTGTCGTCATGTGGCTGATATGCCGTTGAAAGTACAATACATGAGGCGGCTACGGGGTTTCGATCACAGGTGTCTTCGCAGCACTGCTCGCATCTCGTGGAATCACCGTGTTAGCAATTTAGTTGTCCGGCGAAGGGTTCTAGGGAAGGGACCTTCATTGACTGAGGTGACCTGGGCATGTTGCGCATCCAGAGCCCTTGACGTGCCATGCTAGGGGAAGTTGGATTAGGTTGGAAGAGTTCAAGGTGGTCAGACCGAGAAGCGGATCTAGTCTACGAAGTCCCTAACTGTTCGGCTGAGCCATGTTGGGGAGTGGGGGTGTAAACCACCAGTCTGAAGCCCCTAGGAAGATGGGAATCGGTAGTTGAGAACACTTGATGACATGGCTGAAACTCAGTCACAATGTAGCAGATGTATTCATTCTATGACGTATAAATCATGAATGTTTACACCAATCTTTATCTGCAGATTATTTCTCTCACACTACTTTATCTACTTTGATATCACTTTTTCTCTCCAACTCTTCTATATATATACTACTATGAGGTGTGGCAATTAGAACCAAGGCACTTGTGTGCGAGGTTCTACGTTGATATTTTTTGTCTGTCTGTCTGCTCTAACCAATATGCAGGAACCGCCAGCCATAGCTCTAATCACACAATTACAACTGGTAACCAAATCTTATTTATCTATTAGCAAGACTAAATTCCGAAGTTGTAGGATTGAGATATGAAGCTTTTGATCAGCTAACTGCTTGACGAATCTAATTTTATGGTCGGAATATACTACCCTTAAATCGGGGATTAGTTTACCTGGGATTTTACGAACTATTTTATGGTTAAAAGTTTTTTTATGATCTCTTAACCCTCATAATGCCTCAGAAATGGGGCAAAACCCATCAAAAGTCTCAAATGAAACTTTTATGACCAGTTTTACTTGTAGGGTCAATATCAGCTAAGTTTTCTAACCCTCAAGTACAATACTGATGTCTAAAGTTTTGACGAAGCTACACCAGAAAACTTTAGATTGAAGTATAAAAATAACATTCTTAGCAAAATAACTATAAATAAGGTTACTTGAGGAAGATGAAACATGCAAGAAGACAGCGACGTCAGACATCAAGTATGTTCCTTCATTCAAATATACATGGGCAATGAAGAGAACGAATACCACGCAATGTGAAAATGAAGTAACCATAAACCACAATTTGGTCAATGACCTACTTGTTTACTAGCCTTAAATAACACTGATTCACATCACAACGCAAAGACATATGAGACAGCTGATTACCAAACACTCACATTGTAAGCAATAATGGACAGCACAACACCTATATTATAGAGAACACTAAGTAATAATCTCAACTTTTCTGAGAAAAAGGATATCACAAATTTAATCCAGCGGTAATAATAATGGTAAAGGTAATAATGCGACCCATCTATTTTGTAAAGGAGTATATACTGGGTTATATGAATATGTGACGGCTTATGATATTACCCGACTGCCCAGGTTGAGCATGGTTTGAACCCAGGACCGATAGTTCCAGAAAAAACTACCTGAGCCAATGCGCAAGAATGCAGCAAAAATAAACTCGACAACTGAATGCCTATTTAGAATAACAATTAGACCCATCATATAAGTGCATACTTGTGAATTACGTATGAGGTAAGACGTGAACGCTAAGTATCTCTAGGCGTCTGAATGCAGCTTCTTTGCTAATATAACGCACTTTTGCTAAGCAACTCACTCAGGAGACAAAAGCAAGCCTGAAAGTTACAAAGCATCAGGATTTGAACCAATGATTCTACTACATGAATGATTTTATTCAGCTATAGGTGATGAGCTATAATTCATTCAGAACGGATGCATTTAACTTACAGACGCTGATCTATTTCTTCGACAATAGGCATAAGGCGTTCCCGATGAAAACATGCTTTGGAAACACTCGGGTCAACAATTAGAGCTTTAGTATAAAGATGTTCAGCAGCCAGAATTAGCGCTTCCGCGTCATCATGTCCCGCGTGACCATAGATGGGAATTATGGACTTCGTTGGCGGCAAAGCTACGCGTGTAACATGTTTTTCATGATAATAAGAGCCTTCTATAGCCTCACCCAGGGCGATTAAAACATCAATGTTGTCTGGGTCAAGTCTAAACGCATGTTCCAACAGTTTCTTGGCTTTTAAAAACTGACCAGAAGTTTGATGCACTGAAGCTGCTTGCAACGAATGAATGGCTTCCACCCTTTCACCTGAAAATATTTGAATTAGAGCAAAGCACCTCACTTTTTGAAGGAATAATACGCCTGCGCATTAACGGTGGCAAATTAGAATTTGATCTAGCTTTACGATGGGTATAAATAATATCGTTAACCAAACGTCGGTATAAATATTCTCCACTAGAATCTTGGTATTTAGGATCACTTTTGAAGAAAAAGTTGTGTCCAGCTCTACTAACACCACGGTGTCGAAAGACTAAATGGTATATCGTTGATGACTCAAATAACCCATTTATACTAAAACTCCTGTATGAAGATGATATATATGCAACAAACGATTTCCAGAACTCAAATGGGACAATGGCACAAATTAAAACGAGAAAAGTGACCAGGAAAACCATTTTCTTCCCTGGGATTATTTTCATGAGACAGCTTTTTAAAAAAGCCGGTATGGCGATTGGCGCTAGTAAACGCATGCTATAGCAACAGCAGAAGAGATTACGGCAGAAACTCAGATACTTGTGTTAATTAGTTTCCAACATGCCTTTGTCTTTTTACATTGGCACATCATGGTTCTTATCGAATTTCTAAGTCATCATCATCGAAAATCTTCAAATATTTTGTGGTTCTTTGATAAATAGTAATATACAGAAGGGACATAAAATAAATTGGGGCTGCTCGGTTGCTTCAATCGGTTTTCCAGAAAAAAGAATGGAGGTGGCCTCTAATTCATGCCCTCTACCGACGAGGAATACCTAAGCGTAGATCGCGAGTTTCACGAGCTACATGAGCTGGGGTGCTTTTCTATACTATTCAAGGTAATATCTTTATTTCCAGTCACCTCTAAACTTGAACAAACCTCACTTAGCTACAGGCTTTGGTAGTTTGAACCGACCTGCCACAGATTTCGTGCCCTGTGTCTGACTGGAGACCTTCGTTTTCCAGTCGAACCATAAAATAAGCTTAGAGGATTGTTAGATATTGTTCATTTGGCTTCAAACATCCAACATCAACAGTGCGAGTGGAGAAAACTTGTAGTTTTTGCGCCCACGCTTCTAGGACTTGAGGCTCGGTTCTTTCTGTTCACGGCCGCAGAAGTCTTCGCGTTCCTCCTGTTTATGGCTTTGGAGGTAGTGTTTGTCTATCAGATATTTTTTCTTCCAAATTGTACCTTGGTTTGTTTGGGGACGACATGGCTGCTGATAAAGTAAATTGACCCTTTTATAATCCCGTTGTTGTAACCACCTGCATAAACTTTAAGGGTTAATTAAAAGGTGCTAGGAATAGAGTAGGGGGTGAGTAAAAGAAGAGTGAAAAGTACATATGGAAAATAATTGTTACTGGCAATATATCTTACTGCAGATCCTGGGTTGGGAAATCCAAGAGGAGATGAGTGTATCTTCAGTTGCTGCTGACGAATGTTTGTGGTAAGTTGTTTGCACTCTTTTACCCATTCAGTAATCGTTTGAAGTAGCCTACTGGCGTAGCCATGGCTACTTTTTCCTGTAGAGCTTTCCCCAAGGCACGCATTCTGTATGAGAAGTCTAATCTCACTCTCGTCTTCGCCCCTTGGTAGGATATTTGGGTGGGGTTCCCACGAGACTGTAGGTCTTTGACCAACGATGTTGACCTGTTTGGGTGACCCACTTGCTGAACAATCTTGTAGGCTGTTATTCAGTCGCCTCTTTTCCTTCGATACGTTAATTTGAACAAGCTGAGTTGTCTGGGGGTTGTGTTTATGTTTTGCCCGTTAGTTCAACAGCCGACCTTGTCACCTTTCTCTGTACCTTCTGGAGAGTATTCGTGCCTGTCTTTAGCGGAGTGAGGCTACCTCTAGGTGAGGTCTAGCAGGTTGTAAACAGTTCTATGGTTAGTGCTCCTGGCTGCCTTCTTATGATGTGCATGATGTAGTTCGTCCTTGCTGTTATTTCCTTGTAGTCGGAACTGGTATCCATTGTGTCAAAGAAGTTTGGTCTTAGGTCCTTCCCTGTGGATGCTCTGATGGCTGCATAATTGTCGAGGGTGTTGCTGGTCTTCATAGCTTTTGATGTTTGCATATACATTGACTTGGATTTCTCCAGGTTGGAGCTTAAAGCATTCTCAGCTGACCGGGACTCCAGCTGCAACAGATCGTCTTGAAGTATTCTAGGATCCTGTTCCCTACCTGTTGTATTCTACATTTCGAAATGGGAGGATAGACGAGATTTAAACTGGGAGACCATCAGTGAATGGTAAAAGCACGTGTGCCGTAAGGGTAGCTCCCAGAGAACCTCCTGCTCTTGAACGTTTCCGGGGTGATCGAATTCTGTCTGCTCCGGTACAAAATTCTCTGTCCTCTAGATATGCTGTAGGCCACGCCAAGAGAGGTTCAGTGCTTCTGACTTTTACCAGTCCGGCGAGCATTGTGTAGCGTGGGACGCTATCGAAGGCCTTGATCAGGTTCAGAAAGATAGCGTGGACTGGTTGCTTTTCATCCTATCTAGTGGTTTATCCGCCCCAAGTGGTCATCATATTTGTGGCATATCACCGTCTGGTTCTGGAGCCCTATCAGGTGGGATGGACAGTGTTGTTTCCGTTTGGGTAGTCCCAAACAACATCTGCAAATAGGCCATTTAGTACTTTGGATAGGGTACTTCCACTTGTCCAGCTTGTAAATTTTGCGCACAATTATTCTGCTGGGATGTTCCACTATATGGACGTGCAGCACTTATATCTTCTAGTGGGGACTGAGATTACCTTCCACGAAGTTACATGTGATTGATGTATAAACTTATTCATACCTGTAAAAATGGTGTGTGCCTGCATATTCAGGAATTATTATTGTTATCATTACTATTATAGGAAGCAGAACTATCGGCCGATAATTGTACGGGATTTATTGACATCCGCCCCGAAGACTGGTGAAAGGATAACCCGTTCCATTTTCTGGAGAGTTGACTTACTTCCGACGAGTGTAGCAACACATTGCATACGGGTGTGCCTTCCACTTCGAGACTGTTTCGTGGAACCGCCAGTCTTACGCAGTTGCAGCTTGGAGACTTCACTATTCTGAAGTTTCGTAAGCACTTGCTTTGACGAAGCTTTTAAGTTCATCGGCTTTATATTGCAGCCCTGGAACTTCGTGACATAACTGGACGTTGGCAGTGGATACACCGCTGCGATGAGCTGCCCATCAAGTTGGCTGCTCAGCGCCTCTGCTATCTCACTACCATCCAAGGGTTCCCCGGTCGATTCCGCAATCAGGTTTAAACCTTTATTCATCCGTTTTCGTTGTGACATAAACCGATACAGGCTTTTCGGATCGTAACTTAGCCGCTTGGCAAGGTAATTCCGGTATTTGAACCTGTCATTACTAACACTTATGTTACATGAGTTGCATAACTTCTCGTGGCTGAGAACGTCTAATTCCTTGAGGCGTGTGTGCCACTGATACCCGAAACCGTTTGAGAGGTGATCGTCTGGTTAACTTCGGAACACTCTCATCGATAGCGCTCCAGATAATATCTTTAATATATGTCCAGTGTTCGGTTATGTACTAAAAGTCCCATTCTTGTGGCCGTGGAGCCTCCAGGAGTTCAGTGTTCATTCGCCGGTTGTCCACTTTCAGGTAACATCGGAACCCTTCTTGTTCAACCATTGGCAGTTTCTCTTCAGTTATCAAGGAAAATCTCACCAACACGTGATCACTTTTGCCTGGAGGAGTATGGACACTGATACTGTCTGTTAGAAAGCGGTCAAGTGGTGACCCTTCTACCTCTGGTCCCCACCTGATGTTTTCCCCAACTTTCTCTACTAATCCTGCTGCCATAGACGTGCTTTACAATCCGTGTCCAAAAGATTCAGGTTCACAGCTTGCCTCATATCCCGGGTCAAGTGCTGGTGTATTGAAGCTCCCAGGGAGGACTGCATGGTCAAAGGCTGCTGAGAAGCATGTCGAAACGGCGGTGAGCATTTGCGTCTTACGCTCTGCTGTGAGTAGAGGAGGCCTGTACGCCACTTCTAATGGGTACTTTGTTCGGTTTATGGAGAAATAGCACCATAAGGAGTCTGGTAAATGGCCAAATACACCATGCGTCACCTCCTTGACTTCTAGGTGCGCGCTAACGTACATGGCAACTTCTCTCCCTTCTTTGAACTGCTGGCCTTTTCGTAAAATGGACAAGTCAGGCAGAAATCTTTCCTGGTCCTCGGTGTCTGATGAGAGCCATATCTCCGTAACGAAGATTGGATCTGCGTGCGGATTTTATACATTGTTCTTGGCTCCAGTAGTTTACGTCTAAGACCTCTTACGATACTGTAGAAACATGTCAGGAAGCCAAGTTCTGGGTCTTGCGCGATACGGAAACCTGTGTGGAGGCTGGTGAGACGTCGCATTGGACTGGACTTACAATTCTTTGTTTTTTGGGTTATTCCTGGCATCCTGGCGTGGATGTGACAGTAGTGCCTATCACCATGTCTACAGGCACCAGTTCACTAGGTAGTTCTTTTGCAACTATTACTGCCTAAAGCATTCTAGGGGGTTGCATCCTACCTTCCAGTTTAGTGGACCGTGGTTTGCCCTCACGGCATCTTATAGCACCCCCCATTTGATCTTTTACACCGCAACATGCTGTAGGGGCTTATGTGAGTGACGCCTTGGAGTTAAAGCGAATAGCTAACAACCTTGGTGGGGAGATGCTCTGCAGGCGAGTAGGTCTTGGCAAACTACTTACGCAGCTAGCAGGCAAGAATCCCGGTCCCAGTCTTGCTGCCAGCCATCCCTACCGCCCGACGTCATGGAGGTAACCAGCGAATTTGTGGATCCTCCCGCCAGTTCAGGTATCCCACACACTACCATGGCCGCAGCTTTGTGCAGATCACTAGGTGTGAACTTTCTCTCCACATCTCTGGGGACCCGTGGTTTATCTGGCTTCACCCTTATGACTCAGGGGCCTGTTACATCTGGTCGACGTATTAACTTGCGCTTCATTTATTGCGACCGGCAGCTTGTCGCAGATGGAGCGCACAACACATACTTGTACTGAGGCAAAAACATTTATCAACCGGACCAGCAGAAGCGGAAACATTGATGGAAGGCCAGACCTCAGTTCTTAAATAGGCAATGGTTGTGAGGAGGAAATAAACACCTGAAACAGGGTAGAAATCTTCGACATTTATTCATTGGCTTGAAACTTCAAAAAATAATGATGATTTTGTTCGGGACAGGACTTGTGGGACAATAAGAAATTCTCAGCAGATAACAGTTTGAAAAATCCATTCTCTGTACAATACCTTTGAGTGAAATTGCCACTGGATTTGAACGCTGGCAATAGCGGAAATAAGGATCACAGTATTAATGGAGCACCTGATATTACATTAACATCTCATTTGAACTGATGAATGAGCAGAATTTCGAGTGCAATTTTCACAGTAGAAGTTTATCAGACAAGAACAAAAACTTGCAGTTGAACCCAGTTATC